AACACCTTCCTCTCCCTACCTGCTCCCCCTCTGCAAGGGCTCAAACTAATTCCCCCTACTCCCATAACCCTCCCATCTCTCTGCAGACATTTTCCTCCTGTATCCAGAGCATCCCTGGTGCTTTCCACAAGCACATGAGCCTTAAAAACCACCCACCCTCTTGCCCTGGCCAGGACTCACCAATGCTCAATGACCACACGAGGTCCAGGGCCCCGACTTCCCTCACCCCGGGACCGCTTTGGCAGTGTATCAGGGCTACCAGTTGCCTTCTCATCCTCCAAGTTTGCAGACTTCACCTTGGGCTCCTTCGCCTTCCTCTTCCTCCCTTTGGGGGCCATTGTGCTTTGGGAACATAAAAATGGCCCGTCCGGGTCAGGCTAAAGGTCTATCTAGCCCAGTGTCCTGTCTGCTGACAGTGGCCAATGCCAGGTGCCCCAGAGGGAAGGAACAGAATAAGTAACCATCAAGTGATCCATCCCCTGTCACCCACTGCCGACCTCTGACAAACAGAAGCCATTCTTACCCATTTTGGCTAATAGCCATTGATGAACTAATTCTCCATCAATATATCTAGTTCTTTTCTGAACCCTGCAAATAGTGTTGGGACTTCACAAAATCTGGCAGGGAGTTCCACAGGTTGTCTGTACATTGTGTGACAAAATACTTCATTTTCTTTGTTTTAAACCGCCGACCTCTGACAAACAGAAGCCATTCTTACCCATTTTGGCTAATAGCCATTGATGAACTAATTCTCCATCAATATATCTAGTTCTTTTCTGAACCCTGCAAATAGTGTTGGGACTTCACAAAATCTGGCAGGGAGTTCCACAGGTTGTCTGTACATTGTGTGACAAAATACTTCATTTTCTTTGTTTTAAACCTGCTGCTAGGAATGTTAACATGTAGTCAACTATATGATTAACCGATAAGCCTGAGCTTCTTAGTTAATCTTGTTGACTACCTGCATCCTCCCCTTGCTGCCTCTGTATGAGAGGAAGCAAAGGGCGGGGGGGAACGAGAACTTGTGAGGAACTGGCTTAAAGGCCAGCTCCCCATGAGCACCAGATCTCCACCACTGCCTGATAGAGGCAGCAGGGTGGAGGGTCAGGGGGTTAGGTTGGAGCCAATACGCATGGGGAGCTGACTTTCAAGCCAGCTCCCAGCATGTCAGATCTGTGGACCCGCTGCCTCCTACAGAGGTTGGAGGTCAGGTGGGGGGGAACAGGCAAGTAGAGTCTGAGCTCCCCACAGACAGAGGCTGCTCCACATCCCACAATCCCGATAATATTTTGTGCAGTTACACAACTATTCAATTACAATGTATTTAACATCCCTACCTGCTACCTATTAGTTTCATTTTGTGACCTTTAGCGCTTGTGTTATGGGAAGTAAATAAGTCATGATTTTATACCCCTCTCTCATGAGCCCCCGAGTCGTCCCTTTTCCAAGCTGAAAAGGCCCAGTCTTATTTCTCTCTCCTCACAGGGCAGCCATTCCAAACCCCTCATCACGTCTGTTGCCATTTTCTGCTCCTTTTCCAATGCCAAGATATCTTTTTTTGAGATGAGGAGACTCCATCTGCAGCAGGGGGCCCCCTCCGCAGGCAGCATTGAAGGGGAGGGAAAACAAGCCCCCTCCCCCCAATGCATCTCTAGGTATTTTTCCATCATGATGGGATGTTTTTCGAACAGATCCGCTCTGATTCAAAGAGGAATTAATCCGGGCAGGTTCTCTGGATGGGATGGGGAGAGGCGGGACCACGGGTCACTTCCACCCGGCCACAGGAATAACCCGGAGAAGCGCGGGGCAGAGTGGGGCGTATGATGGGACAATTAAAAACGGGGATGTGGGGAAGTCGGACAGCAAGGGGGAAGGCAGGGCGTGTTCGCTGCCGCAGGACTGCGGGGCCCCATTCCTGCAAATGGTACCAGACGCGTTCCCGAGCCTCCCACCGTTGGAGGTCTGGGGGGAGCAGCCCCTCCCGCAGCAGCGGAGCACAGACAAGGGCCCACCCCGGAGAGAGCCACACAACCTACCTCCTCCTCTGCAAGGGCACCGCAGCCAGGTGCGGGGAGAGGAAGCCGCCCTGCTCCCGACCACTCCACACCGACCGGGGGAGGGGGGGGGAGAAAGGAAGGAATCAGAGGCAAAAAAAAGGGGGGAGGCGCCAGCTGAGCCAGCTCCGCCTTTGCACCCGTGCAGTTGGGCGCGACCAGACTCCAGCGCTAACGAAGACACGCGGAGCTGGCTTGACTGCACAATCCCCCCTCCCCTTTCTCCAGGATGGTTCCGGCCCGAATTTGTTACACAACGTTCTGTATATAAAGGAGGCGTCCTGGCAGCCAATCAGCGCTCAACCTGGGCGACTGAGGCTTAGAGGCCGCGGAAGACCTGGACCCAGCTCCGCCCCCCCGCCCAGAGCCGCGGACTCCAGCAACCCGCGTGGGCAGGGTAGTAGGGCTCCGCGGGGCCGTGAGATTCGCCACAGCAGTGACCTCGGTGTTGTGAGCTTCCTCCCCGCAGTGCCAAGAGGGCCCCGAATCGCTGAGCGCTTCTTCACGGAAGCTGCCACCCGAAAGCGGGCCCAGCAACTGTCCAGCGCCTGGGAGCAGCAGAGCACCCTCAGGCCTGCCTGGTAGCACCCAACCTGGCTTGGCAGAGAAGGGCGCTGTGCAAGCAGGCACCATGAGCTCCGCTGCCGAGCCATTGCCACTGCAGCAGACTCCCACCCGTCCGGGTCAGGCTAAAGGTCTATCTAGCCCAGTGTCCTGTCTGCTGACAGTGGCCAATGCCAGGTGCCCCAGAGGGAAGGAACAGAATAAGTAACCATCAAGTGATCCATCCCCTGTCACCCACTGCCGACCTCTGACAAACAGAAGCCATTCTTACCCATTTTGGCTAATAGCCATTGATGAACTAATTCTCCATCAATATATCTAGTTCTTTTCTGAACCCTGCAAATAGTGTTGGGACTTCACAAAATCTGGCAGGGAGTTCCACAGGTTGTCTGTACATTGTGTGACAAAATACTTCATTTTCTTTGTTTTAAACCTGCTGCTAGGAATGTTAACATGTAGTCAACTATATGATTAACCGATAAGCCTGAGCTTCTTAGTTAATCTTGTTGACTACCTGCATCCTCCCCTTGCTGCCTCTGTATGAGAGGAAGCAAAGGGCGGGGGGGAACGAGAACTTGTGAGGAACTGGCTTAAAGGCCAGCTCCCCATGAGCACCAGATCTCCACCACTGCCTGATAGAGGCAGCAGGGTGGAGGGTCAGGGGGTTAGGTTGGAGCCAATACGCATGGGGAGCTGACTTTCAAGCCAGCTCCCAGCATGTCAGATCTGTGGACCCGCTGCCTCCTACAGAGGTTGGAGGTCAGGTGGGGGGGAACAGGCAAGTAGAGTCTGAGCTCCCCACAGACAGAGGCTGCTCCACATCCCACAATCCCGATAATATTTTGTGCAGTTACACAACTATTCAATTACAATGTATTTAACATCCCTACCTGCTACCTATTAGTTTCATTTTGTGACCTTTAGCGCTTGTGTTATGGGAAGTAAATAAGTCATGATTTTATACCCCTCTCTCATGAGCCCCCGAGTCGTCCCTTTTCCAAGCTGAAAAGGCCCAGTCTTATTTCTCTCTCCTCACAGGGCAGCCATTCCAAACCCCTCATCACGTCTGTTGCCATTTTCTGCTCCTTTTCCAATGCCAAGATATCTTTTTTTGAGATGAGGAGACTCCATCTGCAGCAGGGGGCCCCCTCCGCAGGCAGCATTGAAGGGGAGGGAAAACAAACAAGCCCCCTCCCCCCAATGCATCTCTAGGTATTTTTCCATCATGATGGGATGTTTTTCGAACAGATCCGCTCTGATTCAAAGAGGAATTAATCCGGGCAGGTTCTCTGGATGGGATGGGGAGAGGCGGGACCACGGGTCACTTCCACCCGGCCACAGGAATAACCCGGAGAAGCGCGGGGCAGAGTGGGGCGTATGATGGGACAATTAAAAACGGGGATGTGGGGAAGTCGGACAGCAAGGGGGAAGGCAGGGCGTGTTCGCTGCCGCAGGACTGCGGGGCCCCATTCCTGCAAATGGTACCAGACGCGTTCCCGAGCCTCCCACCGTTGGAGGTCTGGGGGGAGCAGCCCCTCCCGCAGCAGCGGAGCACAGACAAGGGCCCACCCCGGAGAGAGCCACACAACCTACCTCCTCCTCTGCAAGGGCACCGCAGCCAGGTGCGGGGAGAGGAAGCCGCCCTGCTCCCGACCACTCCACACCGACCGGGGGAGGGGGGGGGAGAAAGGAAGGAATCAGAGGCAAAAAAAAGGGGGGAGGCGCCAGCTGAGCCAGCTCCGCCTTTGCACCCGTGCAGTTGGGCGCGACCAGACTCCAGCGCTAACGAAGACACGCGGAGCTGGCTTGACTGCACAATCCCCCCTCCCCTTTCTCCAGGATGGTTCCGGCCCGAATTTGTTACACAACGTTCTGTATATAAAGGAGGCGTCCTGGCAGCCAATCAGCGCTCAACCTGGGCGACTGAGGCTTAGAGGCCGCGGAAGACCTGGACCCAGCTCCGCCCCCCCGCCCAGAGCCGCGGACTCCAGCAACCCGCGTGGGCAGGGTAGTAGGGCTCCGCGGGGCCGTGAGATTCGCCACAGCAGTGACCTCGGTGTTGTGAGCTTCCTCCCCGCAGTGCCAAGAGGGCCCCGAATCGCTGAGCGCTTCTTCACGGAAGCTGCCACCCGAAAGCGGGCCCAGCAACTGTCCAGCGCCTGGGAGCAGCAGAGCACCCTCAGGCCTGCCTGGTAGCACCCAACCTGGCTTGGCAGAGAAGGGCGCTGTGCAAGCAGGCACCATGAGCTCCGCTGCCGAGCCATTGCCACTGCAGCCGCCTCCCACAGGCCTTTCCGGCAGTTTGCTGCTGAGCCCCCCCGCCCGGGATCAGAGAAGGGCAGGAGCCATGGCACAGGCTGGAGTCAGCTTCCTGGAGCCAGCAGTGGCCTGCTGAGCCCAGCTCGGACTGAGAATCTGCCCACCTGCAGGAAGGGAGGCAGTCAGACCCAGGGGGAGGGTTCATCCGTAGCTTGTTTTATTACAGACATGCCTTGCGAGGGAAGTGATGATTAACACACAGAGGGAGCGTTTGCCCTACACTCTAGCCTGGCCCTACAGGGGCTACTGCATCCCATTCTGAAGAGCCCTGTGTTCTGATTCAGGAGAGCTGGTGCCCCAGGCAACGGCAGCCACAAAATGGAGCCAGCCCCTCCCTCCAGCTCACAGGGCGCTCAGGCCCTGCCCTCAGCCTGCCACCACCTGCCCTCCTTGTCCCCCAAGCGGCCTTTTGGCACCAACAGGAAGGGGCAGTCCTAGTAGTGGCTTGGCTCTTCAGTGGGGAAGGGGCAGAAAGCAGGTGCTTGCCTAGGAGTCCTCCAGAGCAGCAGAGTTCAGTCCCCAGCATCCTCTGGCTGGCAGGAGCGTGTTCCATTGTTCAGCTGCTCTGCCCCTGCCCCCAGAGCAGCACATGCCCTCCAGCCCTCTGCATAGGCCGGCTCTCCAGGAGCTAGGTCTGCCAACAGGTCAGGCCTTCCGCTCCCACCCCCTGCAAGGCCTGGGGGAGGACAGGCCCAACAGGGACCTGACTCACAGCCCACACATATGGGCACCACAGAGAATTGCCCAGGTATGGCGAGGGGAGCCCCTAGCAGCCCCTTCCCTCACCTTCCAGCCAGGAAACTTCTAGCCAGAAGTGGTTGGGTCCATCAGCAATACCCCTCCTTTCCCCCAACCCTCCAATCTGGCTCAGGCCAAATCAACACATGCCCCCCACCCCCACTGGTTCCACTCAACTTGGAGGGGCCGCACCTTCATACCCAGCTGCTCCAAAGCCCTAGGAGAATTTTACCCCCCCAGTCCCTGCTTATGGGTTGGCAGGGAGGCGGGGGGGGGCCAATCAGCAGCTTGCATCCACTTCTCGAGGTCTATTGGCCCTTCTGCTCCTGCAGGGGCAGGTCAGAGCATCACCACACTGGCCAGAGAGGACCAGGAATAAATAAGACGATGCCCAGCAGTCCCTGACCCCTAGGGGAGGGGCGACTCCCTCATGCAGCTCTCCTCAGTCTTTGAGACGGGCTGTGCTGGGCCCCACAGCACAGCTGACGGGGGAGGGTGGAGGGGGCAGCTACAGGGAGCGAGGTAGGTCTATTTGTCCTTCTTGCTCTCGCCGTTGGGGAGCTCCGCGTTGGCCACCAGGGGATCCTGCTGCTCCAGCGGCTCCTCAGGCCCCTCGTCTCGCTGCTTCATCAGCTTCTTGGCCTTCTGGTACAGCTCATTCAGGCTGAATTCCCGGATCACGTTCTCCTGCGGCACAGACGCAGACCTGCCCCCGGGGCCCACTGCAGGCAACAGCCTCTTACCAGGGGGCATCACCATAGGTCTGGCCAGCCACAGGCAGGGTAGACTGCCCACAGTCATGTCACAGTGGGGCCCAGGGGATCCTGGGGTAGGAGGGAAGCTCTGTGCTCACTGGCAATGGGTGGCGAGGAGAATTCTGCACCGAGGAATAACACTGGCACAGCTCAGGAGCCGAGCACCAGAAGGAGCCCACACAGAGGATGGCCCATGGCTGGCACAGAGCCAATGCCCAGGGAGCAGCCCATTGACTGACCAGGCAGAGCTGAAGCTAGAGGAGGGACCTGCCCCTGCCCTCACACAGCCCACCTCAGAGAAAGTCCAGGAGACGGCCCGGCCCTTCTTGTCGATCTGTGGCCGGCGCATCACCTCCTTCCCGCCCTGGAAGAGGATCAGGGTGGGCAGCTGCTTGGTGAGGGGCGAGGTGCTCACTTTGTACCTGTGGGGATGGGTGGACAAATGGACGGGTGACCTCTTAAGAGCTCCCAACCCCTCAGCATTGCACTGCTCCGCCCCTGCCCCAACCTGAGGGTTAACACGCGGCCCAGCAGCCCAAGAGAGAAGGAAAGGGGGAGACTCCCCTCCTCTGACACCAATCCTGCCTGCAATCCAC